AAAGAGAAAAACTTAGTTATGGACATCATGACAGAAACAACGATGCTGGAGAACGAAATATACGAGCTGCTCTTCTTGCACTCTGAATAAAAGATGTAATCGGATGCAATCATTTCATTAATACACACATGGGCCTGGAATGGGAATACAGAGGACCAGATGGTCAAGAGTGGAGTGAGATGAAATGAGATGGGTGTTTGCAGTTTAGCAACTAACTACTTAGCCTGTATGGATTATATTAAGTACTTACAGAACCAAATGAACACATTTTCAGAATGAAATTCTGGCTTTCTGTCCAGAACCATCATTCCCATCGCAAGGGAGAAAACCTGCAGGGCGGCTATGCCTACGTAGTTAATGGTACACACTGATCATACTAGTGCTGAAACTTGACTCCATATTGGAATCACCTGGAGAGTTTTTCGTTAAAAAAAAGAAAAACCTAATGCATAGGTCTCACCTCCAAAGACGCTGATTTAATTGAACTGGGGTACGTCTTAGGCACTGGGATTTTTCAGAGCTCCCCAGGTAACTGTAAGGTGTAGCAATGTTTAAGAAGCATTGCATTTCTATGATTCCTGCATTTCCACAAGTAGGGTGACTTTGTATGCCAATAAAAGAAATAAGAGCTTGCATAATATCATTTTAGGGAGGCATACAGTATCTCTTGCCCCCAAATAGCTATTCATTTCTTTAAGTATAGTGTTTTGAAAACTACCTAGAAAATTTCATTTCTTTGGATATGGAAGCTTTATAACTTAAATGAGGATAATTCCTCTGAGAAGGATAATACATTAAGTGGTTATCAGTTATTAACACCCTGGTGTGGGCTCCTTTATCGGATTACTTTCCTTTATGGAGGTATAGTAAGGGGCAGGGTGTGGGTGAGGTTGAGAGGCTCAAAGATCAATAGGATATGAATTCAAGGTGAGCTCCAGGTGTGAAAGATATGACTAAGCACAATTTATAGTCTAGCTGAAAAGATAAGTATATACCAAAAAGATAAACTTGAAGTTGTCTCCTGAAGTTTAGAGAGCATGGATGCAGATCAAATGCACATTCTATGCTCTTAAAAAACACTCTACTAGGACGTAGCAAGTGACAAGTGAAAGGTATATTTTCAGTTCCACCCCAGGTCTGGACACAAGAGAATCTCCAAACCAGGCTTGATGTTGGTGCCTGAGAGTGAGCAGAAGTCCAGTAGGTTTTGCTGGGTGATATGAGAGCCCTTGGAGTCTTGGCAAAAACAGAAACTGGCTGGATTTCGGTAGTTCAAGACACCAAGAAGCCACATACTACTACGTACTAATTGTACCACATATGATTATGAGAGCAAAGAAGGGCTTGAGAAAATGCTGCAGATCCTTCTTGGCAAAGTTTCCTTTGGGAACACGCACCAATTCTATACCACAGTCTTGGCTTTTGACAGAAAATACTAGGAAGAACCCAGCTTCAGCTTTAACTTTCTGCAGCACACTCTGATGTGGAAAAAGTGCAGGAAGAACACATGTGGGGACTGGAACATATTCTCCAAACTTCACAGTTTGTCAAGGGCAGGTCCTACCCACACATGGTTCCCCTGCAATTTCCTCATCTCTTTCATACAGACTGGAAGCACACTCAGCAGGGAACCCAGCTATATCCTGCATGGATGGGTCTCTGGCTGGACAGCAACAAAGACAGCGTGAAGAGGCGGGTGGCCAGACCCCAGGCAGGCTCTTGTGCACTATAGCTGAATGACTTTTGAATAGAACTGACTTGAAAGAAATCTCTTCCTGCAGGTCTAATGAGCCCCCCTGGGAAGCTCCGGATGTGAATGGGAATCACGACTTGACATAAACGGGAAAGATTATGTGTCAGCAGGGCTGATTTGATTCTTAATGGAGTGTTAATTTATTTGCTGTGATTTCACACATCTGCTTTGGCCACAATACCATATTACGTTAATCTTTGAGATATTACTACACAAAGGTATATTTTCTGTATACAGGGTGGGTAAAAACTGGGGAATTTATACTTGCGGCTTTTTTTCTTTAAAGAAATACATGCCTGTTATTCAAAGGACTGGTAGGTAGAAGATGTAGGGTACACAGTCATCATTTGGGTACACAGTCTCTTGAGGCTATCATCAGTTTGGCAGTTGTGTCTGTGAAGTTTGCAGAATAGTTTTGAAGGTAACAGGTTTTAGTTAGTCCTAGTTCACAAAGCAAGTCACAATGGTGAAGGCTGCTTAAGACTGGCAGGCGGGACAGCTTTATTCCCTTTGGAGATGCTACTTTACACACATTTTGTATAGACAACAAAACCAACTGTGTTTCCCTAAACATTTGAGCTGAGGTTTAAACATAGGGTAGGAAACACACACACACACACACACACACACACACACACACACACACACAATTACTTTAAAGGAAAATGTAAATTTCATCTATCGCTTATGTTCAAGTCTCACAAGACAGGATGAGTTTGCCCCTTCAGAAGACAATGTGATGGCTTCGTTAGGAAACAGATGTATGTAGGCCACTGGGGGAGATAAAGCTTGATTAGTCCTAGCTGTTTGTGAATGAAATGTTGGGGACTTTAACACAGAGACCAATCTCAAATAGGATGCCGTCCCTCCCAGTCACACAAATCCCAGGAGACTACAGATGCTGGTACTTCCCAGGGGAGATGTACGCAGCTCTCCAAGTGGCAGCCCAAGCTTTCTAATGTGGCAGCCCAAGTTTTGCATGCTCAGCAACAGTGGCTCGACTAGTTCAGCAGGTGGTAAGAGAGAAAAATGGTAATGAGAGCAGTAAAGCTCGTAGTTAGCAAAGACACTTTCTACTGAGGGGTCCAGGCTGCCTTGGGCTGCTAGGGACTTTTACTTGACAAAAAGAACTCCTTTTTCCTCCCTGACTTCTATGCTGCTTGATATCAGGAGGAGAGCTGGGACTGACATTTATTTAGGGAACATGTAGCTCTCCCAAGCTGAGAGGAATAGACAGCCAGTGTAGCTACCTAGAAGGGTTGATTTCCATGATGCTAAAGATACTATAGCAAACACCAAGATATACGATGTATGTCTTCTTTTCCCCAAGAATTTATGGTCCAGTAGAGTACATTAACCTTTTTTTTTTGTTTTGTTTTTTTGGTTTTTTTGGTTTTTCTCCGGTACCGGGAACCGAACTCACGACCTTGCGCTTGCCAGGCAGGCGCTTTGCTGCTGAGCTAAATCCCCAGCCCCGAGTACATTAACCTTGATTCTTACAACAATCACAGAATTCCAATGAAGTTTCACTTACCAAATATTTGAAGTAGTAAATCTAATGGTTCACTTTGGAACTTATGGTTGAGAAAAGAGTAAGATTATAGGCATGTATAAAGATAAGATCAAATCTAGAAACACCTATAGTAAATGAGATTATTCTTAGAAAATACGCTCCACCCTTAAATTAGAACATTCAGCAGTGCCTTTTGCAACATGATTTTGCAGTTTTTTCTATTAGAAGTGAAGAGTATTTTCCTGCCCAGTTAAAGAATATTACTGCTAAGACATGGATTTGCAAAGTTGACAAACTGGGAGTTTTTCTTTAGGTGCTTCTGAGTGATGACATCTTCATGAGTCAAGTCACATTTATTCCTTTTTCTATCCTCAAAGCTTCTATTCTTCAGCTGTTTGAATTGTTTTATCTTTTTCTCAAGGACTCTGTCTCAGTTCCTTCATACCTTTTCTCTTTGTTGCTTATATGACTTTAGGCATAAACTTTGGGTCAGTTTTAACATCTCTGAGAAAAGGAGGTGGGATTTCTTGATTTCTGGGATTAAGTCCTGCCCTACCACTCATGGAAGTACTATACATTCTTAAAGTTTTGTTGCTGTCAGAGCCAGTGATGAGAACTTATTAATAATACAGGTACTTAAAACTCACTTGCATAGATTTTAAGTTAGCACATTTGAAATGGGAGCCCCACGACTATATTTTTAATGAATATACCAAGATGGTCTAATGAACACTAAAGTTTATTGCATGAGTTCCATTGTTGTTCATCCAAAATGTATTTTAATATTGCAGAATGAGTTTTAAGCAAAAGCTAGGGGAAAGAACGTCTGTACTGACTTAACTGGAAAGCCAACTGGATAATCAGATACACATTTATCCCCACTTTGTACCCCTTCCCTGCCCAGAAGGAAAAAAGAATACCTCCCTTCACCCTAATGTTTTGTTTATACTCATCCAATGAACTCTTACTCATCCAATGAAAAGCTGATTTCTTTGGGAGAAGGAGTCAGCCCTAGGAGATCGTGGTGATTCCTCTGATGCAGGAACTTGGGCCATGTCTTTAAAAACCATTTATGTAGACGTGCATTGTGAGTAAACTTGAGTCCATATCCTGCACCCTTCTTCCCAGACTCCAGGCCACTAGCTACCCAAGCACCGTGGCTGTTCTACAATTGAAAATTCATTGCGGCATGGCCTTCCGTAATACACATGCGTGCTGTGATCCCCATGTATAATTAAAGCTGCATTATATGCCTATGACGGGTTAGCAACCCTTTCACAGTCGTATTTTTAAAAGGACGACAAGTTCTTACCCCACTCTACTTTTGATACATTTAAATGAAATACTTCCGACTATGGTATCTCCTAATACTGACCCTTGAGTTAGTGGTTTGGCGTGAGAGGTTCAGTTTTCCAGCGGCCAATTAAAGAGTCGTTCTAGACACAACTGCAAACAAAATATAAAAATAAAAACAGAAACCAGGTCTGCTCCTTGACAGAAGAAAGCCAAGGTTGGACAAGGAAATGGGGGTGGCGTGAGGTTGCTAGCGAATAAGGGGCCTCTTTAAGTTCAGATTAGACCGAGTTGACCTGAAGTTTACTCCCCCGCCCATTGGTGAAATAAAAATAGAAACAGCAGGGTATCTGGGTTTGTGCTGGGGGAAGTAAGGTTTTTAACCAGGGTCACCTCACTGCTAGGCGCCGTTACACACTTTTATCCAACCCTTATCCATAGAGGCTGCTTCACACCTGCTTCACACTTCAGCCTGAAAGAACGCTCACCTGGCCTTCCTCACCCTAGCACTGGAAGCCCGGAGCCTCAAAAAGGCAACCTCAATCTCAGCCCGGCTGTCTTCTCCACGGGAGATTTACAAAGCGCCCTTCCCCCAACCGGCATCTCCACCCAGCAAAGGAATATCAGTTGCGTCCCGAAGGCAAAAGCGAAAGGTGAGGGATGCACCGAGAGAAGATCCACTACGTCCTCACACCCTCCCCACTCACCCGCGCGTCTGTTCCGGGCTGCCCTTCCTCCCGCGGGGGGCTGGCAGTCAGGTGAGGTTACCTGGGCGCCTCGAGATGCCCCAAGGGGCGCTGCAGTCCTTCTTTCCAAGTCGCCCCATTCCCGGCCAGGCCCCGGGACTCCGGCCCCTCTCCCCCCGCGCGCGTCCCCGACCCCTCGGGCTCGACGCGTGGCGACAGCAGCCGACCTGGCGTGACGCAGGCGGAGACTACTTAAGGGCGGATTAGAGGCGGCGGCCGCGGATTCCCCAGCCCGGCAGCCAGCTCTGCGCGCTCGGGCCTCGCAGGCTGCAGCGCGAGCGCCAGGTGCCCGCGACGTGGCCCGCAGCGGGGTCTGCGC